GATATTTATTGGTAATATAAAATGCTATTTTTTATTTTTCCTTTTCTATTGAGCTAATTACGGGGGGGTATTTTTAAGTGTATTGACTTGCAATTTATTAAAGGGCTAATGATATTCAAGTGTTTGTAAAATTTTTTGTAAATATTCGAAAATAAATTTTTAGTGAAAATATTTGCGTTGTACTGAAGTTTTAAGCCTATTTCCCCTGGTTTAAGTACAATTTGAATTTTTATCGTGAAGGGTTTCTCCCTTTTCTTATATAGAGTATTAATAGATATATCTTATACGGACTATTATTCTTAGCAGCTTTTGTTTAATTTTCCCTTTAAGAATTAAATTATTTATAGGTAAAAAGTTAGGGCATCTAGTTTATGATTACAAATAAATAGTGGTTTTGAGTAAATAGCATCAGTACTTTGACCCTTTAATTGTTGTCGAGTATATATTTTAGGTATAAAATACAAACTATTGTTATGTATAGCTAAGGTTAAGGTCACTTTTTGAAACTTTAGTTGTAACTAATTTTTGATTTAAAATTCAAGGCCTTTGTTGTTAAACCATTTTTCGTTTAGCTACATTTGACATTTTTCTGTTTTGTAAGTACATGTTCTAAAATGGCAGAAAACACTTCACAAGATGATACTTTAACTGAAAACATTGAGGTTAGAACTAGTTCAAGGGAGCGTAAGCAAACAGAAAAGGGGTTATTTTAAATCAAAGGGGGATGTTATTTGAAAAGAAATTAAAGCTGCCGGTCTCGGCATGGCGTTTTTGTGCTTGGAAAAATTTCTATTTTTACTGACTGACGAAAGTGATGTTGAAGTTATTCGGGTTTTTGCAAGAAATGATCTTGATTAATTTTATTTAAGGGATGTTAAGTCCATTTTTTGAACATTTGGGGTCCAATTAAAAAAACCGAGTTTCTTTCTTTTTTGTGGAAATTTAGAAAGGTGGATTAAAATTTTTAGGTTGGGGAATTTCTGCTTGTTTTGATTATGTGTAGAAATAGATCAATCAGAATTTTATGTGCCAAATAGCTGATAAAAATATGATATTGCCAGCTAGAAAATACAGTCACGTACATCATGTACATTTCATACAAAAGGGTTAGTTCTCGGTTATTCAAAGGCTACTCGTTTTTATCTCGCAGTTTTCAAAAAAGGTCAGATGTTGTTGCTGAAGCAGCCGCTTTAAAAAACAAAATTAAAATTTGTTGATGTAGAAAGTAAAGCAAAGGCTGAACTTGATAAAAATTGTAATTCAGAAAAAACTAGCAATGGCTGAAGCACAAATTGATGTTTTTGAAACACATGGGGAACTTACTGATGAGGGCATTCATAAAATAAGTGATCCACAGCAAAAATTAACAATTCCAAGTTACCCAGACTATACTGAGAACTATGTTAATACTCATATGGATATTTGGCATAATTCTAATCAAAATATGGTGACAAAGGGTGTTATTTCAGATGTTAAACCTCAGATACAGTCTCCCCCTGTAATTTCTAATGTATTTTCTTCTAATCCTCAGCCAATACTAGGTACATCTGTACAACAAGAATTTTCTGTGAATCCTAGTACATTTTGGTAACAATGTTCCAGGTCTTGAATGTTCTAACTTGCAGGCAGGAACTAATGAGAATGTTACTCAACAAGAGCTTTTAAAACTCGCCCAGTCTTTAACTGATCAGCTTATCTTAAGTCGTTTGCCCCCTCCAGAACCAAGTGTATTTGATGGTGATCCTTTAAAATATTCTGGTTGGAAGGCTGCTTTCCAAACCTTAATTGAGAAAAGGCAAATTCCCCCTTCTGAAAAAATCCATTACTTACAAAAGTACCTTAGTGCCTCTGTTAGAGAAGTTGTTGCCAATTTCTTTTTGCTTTCATCGAAGATGCCTATGCAGATGCAAAGGCATTACTAGAACAGCGTTTTGGTGATCCCTTTTGTAGTTGCCAATGCTTTTCGTGATAAGCTAGAAAAATGGCCTAGAATTCAGTCTCGCGATGGTCTAAGTATAAGGCGCTTTTCAGTCTTCTTGACTCAGTGTCATACTGCTATGGGTAGTGTAGGTTATCTTGGTGTTTTAGATGATGAGCGGGAAAATAGGAAAATGTTGTCGAAGCTTCCCGAGTGGGTTGTTAACAAAAGGCACAGGTTGGCAGTTCAGTGGAAAGAAGAACACAGGATGTTCCCACCATTTCGTGAATTTATGCTTCTTATAAGTAAAGAGGCAAAAATAGCTTGTGACCCGGTTACTTCGAGGTTGATCGAGATCAGTTCAGTACAGAGAAATCTAAGTCTGATAGAAGATGGCCAGTAAGGTCTAGTGCATTCTTCTCAGAAGGCAAAGAAAGTACTAAAAATAGTATAGTAGGTGCACAAAGACAAAAAAGGGAATGTGTTATTTGTGGTAAGGGTCATGATATTAATGTCTGTAGAGATTTCTTGCTGAAATCAGTTAAGGAAAGAAAGTCTTTGTCTCGGGAGAAGGGGTTATGTTTTGGGTGTTTACATCGGGGACATGTTGCAAAGACATGTAGATATAAGAAAGGGGTTGGTGAATTTGTAAAAAAATGATCATACGTTTTCTGGGGGAAATTTTAGAAAATGGGAACTGGGCTAAACAATTTTGGGGAAGTTTCCTTTGAAATTTACAAACCAAAAGGAAAACGGGAATTAGTATTTTTTTTGGGTCCTCAACTGGTCAGGCAAAAGAGCCCCATGAATTTTCCGGGTATATTTTCTCTTTGAAGTTTTTTCCCAAATAAGGGAAAAAAACATTTAAATGCATTTTAGATTCACAATCTGACCCCAACTTTGCCCTTTGGGCAGAACTTCCCAAACCCTTTTGGGAATATCTGGTGTTCAAGTTAATCTGTTGCTTTCTACGATGTATGCAGAAAATAAATTAGTGGAAAGTCAAAGAATTAAAGGTTTGCGAGTAAGAGGCTATCAGCAGACAGAGTTATTGTCTCTTCCAAATACATACACTAGGCAAATAATGCCTGCAAACAGGTCACATATCCCCACACCAGATATGGCTAGAAACTGGCCATTCTTGAATTCTATTGCTGACAAAATTGCACCCTTACAGAATTGTGAAATAGGGTTACTTATTGGCTACAATTTTCCTCGTGCTCTCCTGCCTCGGGATGTTGTCTCATCTGACTTAGGTGGTCCATTTGCGTTGCGAACAGATCTTGGTTGGAGTATTGAAGGTATCGTGGATAATGCTGATTATCTTAGTGATTGGGTTGACCCAGTAGGTGTAAGTTCATAGAGTAGTAGTTTGCGAGGTAGGTCAAATTTTGTCAGGGAATGATAGTGACTTAAGTAGGTAGATAGAGTTTTTTGGTATTCTTTCAAGAATAAAGGTTAAAGAGGTAATTAACCCAAAGTCTGATATTGTTAGAATGATTTGAACTAGAATTCAGTGAAAGAATAACTCATGATGTACAATGTCGTTTTGAAGGGGACAAGAAGGGTTCCTTTGAAATCTTCTTAAAGTTAGGTGTTAAAAACAGAACGAAGATGGTCCAATTCATTATGAAATGCCGTTGCCTTTAAAAAGATAAAAGGAAGTTAACTACCCGATAACAAGAACTTAGCTGTTTATCGTTTAAACCACTTAAAAACGTCGGTTTTGCAGAGTGACGAGCCAGTTCTGTAGTCATTATTGTTTTTTTATCAAGACCAATGATTAAACAAGGGTTATTTCAAGAAGGTCCCTGCTAGAAGTCTTGATTCTTACAAAAAGGTAGTATGGTATATACCGTTCATCATGTGTTTACCAATCCCAAAAAACCCAGAGGAAAATAAGATTGTGTTTGGACTGTAGTGCTCAGGTTTAAGGGCAAGTCTTTAAAATAACTGTCTATTTACAAGGGCCCTGATCTTTCCCAATTTGCAACTGAAATCGGCGTTCTTTGTAGGATTTCGGAAAGAAACAGGGGTTTCGCAGTGATTCTGGCATTAAGCAAATTTTTTTTTCAATTTTAGAGTTAAGGGCCCCAGATCACGAGATTTGTTTGCGATTCCCTTTGGTGGGAAAATGGCGAGTTTATAGCCATTGCTTTACCGCATTGTGTGCATCTTTTTGGTGCGGCCTCTTCACCCTGGTTGTGCTAATTTTTGGACTTGAAGCAGATTGCTTTCAGATTACGGAAGGGGAATTTGGTTCTGACATAGCAAATTTTGTAAGGCGCGGACTTTTATGTAGATGATGGTGTTAACCATCATTGCCTTCAGACAAGGAAGCTATGAGTCGTAATTAAGTAGATGCACTGAAATGTTAAAAAAAGGGTGGACTCCGATTACATTAAGTTCCTCTTTAATTTTTCTAAAAGTCTTCTTTTTTTTTTTTTATGCAGCATTGTTGCTCCTGAAACAGAGCCAAAGGGTTTACAGATATTATCTTCTGACTGGTAATCTTCCTTTAAGAAAGGGCACTGGGGGTTCATGGTGTATAGAGTCTGATTGTTTCCAGTTCCGCCATTAAACATTGTAAATAAACCTTTTACAAGGCGTGGCATTTTAGCAAACTGTAAATTCTGTTTATGACTCCCCTTTAGGATTTATCAGTCCTGTTGGGTGTTCAGTGCGAAAAAACAAAATCCTTCAGAGCCTTTGTTCAAGTTTCAAGTAAGGGGATAGTCCAAACCAGCCCATTTTAAAGATCTAAGGGGGAACGATGGAGGCCTAAACTTGGGGGTTTAAAAAAATTTAGAATTTAAAAAAAGGTTTGTTTTAAAACCTAAAATTTTTTGGTACTTTTTATTTTGGGGACAAAAAATTTTACCCACTTTTCAGATGCTTGTGTTACATGGCTAGGGCCATTGTTCCTTTTTAAAGGGACTAGTTAATGACAAACAACCCAAATAGAAAATGGTTTCTTGTAAACCAATCTAGGGGTTTCTCCTTTAAAGATTATTACTATTCCCAGACTTGAGTTGACTACTGCTGTTGTATCTGTTAAGGTGAGTAGCTTGTTACAACAAGAACTAGACTTGAACAATGCTGTAAATTACTACTGGACAGATAGTAAAGTTGTTTTGGGTTATATAGCAAATGATTCTCGTCGTTTTCATGTATATGTAGCTAATCGTGTGCAGCAAATCCATAATCACTCTGATGTTTCTAAATGGAACTATGTGAATACGAAAGAGAATCCGGCAGACATGGCATCTCGAGGTGTTTCTGTATCGTCCCTTGTAAACAGTGCTACTTGGTTCTCTGGTCCTGAATTTCTTTGGCAGTCAGAAATACTGCCATCTAGTGAGAACATACCTAAGCTTTCAGATGACGATTGCGAATTGCGGAAAGTTCAGGTCTTTAACACAAGTTCTGACGTGGTTAGTTGTTATCAGATATGTGAGAACATGCAATATTTTTCTGATTGGGTTCGTTTAAAAAGGGCCATAGCACTTTGCATCAAGTATATCAAAATTCTAAGACAGCTTGTGAACAAAAACAGTGAGCTCATGAACAATAATTGTAATGAGGGTATCTCAAACCAACATGACAAAACTATTCATACAGTAAGTCAGCTTGTTGAAGCAGAACATTTGATTATTAAGTCTGTTCAAGCAAAAGCCTTCACTGAAGAGCTAAATTTGCTGAAGGGTAGAAGCAGTGCACATATTGTTGATAGACAAGCTGTTAAAGGTCAAAAACTATTTCTTAAGAGTAATTCGAGTCTTTATCGCTTGGATCCCTTTATTGACACTGATGGTATTCTTCGTGTAGGTGGTAGACTAAAAAATGCAGAAATGGTTACTGGATTGAAACATCCAATAATATTACCAAAAGCAAGTCATGTTACAGAATTAGTTATAAGACACTGTCATTTACGTGTTAATCATCAAGGGCGTGGAATGACAAGTAATGAGATTAGGTCTAATGGCTTTTGGATTGTTGGACTTAGTTCAGCTGTTTATAGTTTCATCAGTCGTTGTGTAACTTGTCGTAGGTTACGAGGTGGTAATCAAGTGCAAAAGATGGCAGATTTGCCTGAGGATAGGTTAGAACCTTCACCTCCCTTTACGTACAGTGGAGTTGACTATTTGGGCCGTGGTTAATAAAAGAGGATCGAAAAGAATTAAAACGTTATGGTGTGGTTTTTACTTGCTTGTGTTGTCGTGCTGTTCATTTAGAAACAGCTAACTCTTTAACAACCGACTCATTTATTAATGCTTTGCGCAGATTTTTAGCTGTACGTGGTCCATTTAGAGTGTTAAGGTCAGATAAGGGAACAAATTTTGTAGGTGCTGAACGTGAATTAGCTAATGCTTTGTCTGAAATGGATATTTCACAAGTTCATAGGTTTTTGCAAAAGGAAGGTTGTGATTTTATAGAGTTTAAAATGAATGTTCCAAATGCTAGTAACATGGGTGGTGTTTGGGAACGTCAGATACGTTCTGTTAGAAGTATACTGTCATCATTATTGTATCATCACGGCGCTCAGCTTGATGATGAAAGTCTGCGTACATTCATGTGTGAGACGGCGGCGATTAATAACAGCCGCCCACTTTCACCTCAAAATTTGAATGATCCTTGATCTTCAGAACCTCTTAAACCAAATCATTTACTTACCATGAAATCAAAAATACTGTTGCCACCTCCTGGTAAATTTTTGAAGACTGACTTGTATTCAAGAAAGCGATGGAGACGTATTCAGTATTTAGCTAACGAAGTTTGGTGCAGATGGCGCAAGGAATATCTGCAAACCCTTCAAATTCGTAATAAGTGGGTTGTTCCAAAGCGCAATTGTTGTGTAGGTGATGTCGTACTTATTATAGATGACAATTAACCAAGATGTCAGTGGCGTATGGACAGAATTATTGAATTGTGCCCTGAATCAGATGGTCTAGTTCGTAAGGTTGGACTGTATGTTGGTACTTCAGAATTAAATAGTGAAGGGAAACGTGAGACACTGTCATATTTGGATAGGCCAGTAAACAAGTTAATTGTACTTTGTGAAAATATGTGATTCTCCGTCGAGGAGCCGTTTACTTTGTAGCTAAAATAAAAGGGGGGGGGGAGTGATTTCAGTTTGTTTGCTACTCTGTATGTATTTTATTTTTTGCGATACTTTACGATAATTTTTGCAGATTAAATTTTTGCAATTTTGCTGATACAATAAGCAATTTTTGTGAGTTTGATTTTCATATATTTTCTGATGCTGTAAACTAAGCAATTTTTGCGGCTTTAATTTTTGAGAATTGGCCAAAACCGTAAAGTAATTTTGCGAGCTTGGTTTTTGCGTATTTGTATTGACTTGTTATATAAAATAATCTGCGTCAGCTTAGAGTTCTATGTCTATTTAGGATTAATTTAGACTATTTTGCGAAAGCTGTTTTTTAGTATTTTGCGTAATCCTTTTTTAAAAATAAGATTTCTTATTTTTAGGGAGCCATGTTACGGTATCTGTACGGCATCTGTTCGAATTATATACTTGTTTAAGTATTTGCAGAGTTACTTCCCCTTTACTGTTTCCGCCATGATTAGATATTTTCTTGGGCGAATTTGTCGTAATTTTTAATTTTAAATAAATTACTGCGATCGACAAATATTGGGAAATGGAGAGGCAAGGAGGTAAATAAATAACGGATTGCTGTTTTCTGCTATTTTAATTACGATGGCAATGCCAAATAATCCGGATGTAAACAGATGTATTTTATTGCATTTTTTCGATTGTTCTCAATAGCCGCCATTTTAAGGCATGATTTAAAAGGCAATCGTATGTTGCAATCATATGTTTTGACTTTAAACTTTTAAATTGTAATTATTTGTTTTGATTTATTTCAGTTTTCACGGAGACTGTTGGACACAATTAAATATTATTCAATCAACAAGTCTTTTGTTTGTTGCCCTTGCAATTCTCCACCACCACCAATTTCTGCGAAAACTACAACACAGTTGTTGTAATAAAGAATAACTTTAAAAAAAGAAAATATATCTGTAAATTCAAGAACAAGCTTAAAGTATTTGCTTTGTGATATGTTTCATGTTATCTGTAAATCTTGAATATTGTTCTGAATATTTTAAATATGACAACATGTTTGTGAAAAAATTAAAATACTGATTGAATACACATAACCAGGTCAACAATGTAGGACTATCCTACATGTATCCATTCTAGGATACTTATGGTTATCAAATTATACAATTCGTTATGGTTTTTGGTATATATTTTATTTTTCTTGCATATCACTCAGGATTATTTACTGTTAACACCGTTGCTAGAAAAACATGTCTTATAACCCATTCTCATGTAAGACCTTTTTGTTGTGTACTTTAAATGAAGTGATTCCCGTATGTTTTTTATGAATAAATTGCTTTCTTAAGATGACATTATTTTGCCGTAATGAATTAAGTTGTTAATTCATAAACTTCCATTAGAAAAAAGTGCTGAATGGAAATATTTGTTTATTTCTTTCAAAAATATAAATGATTAATAAGTTATATACAAGAAGATAATCAAACACCAGCTATCTGACAGACGCGAATGTCTAGCGCTCATGTAACTGTAAGATAGAAAAATGACAGAGCCTTGTTACTGTCGTAATAAGTTAACTGGCAGCCGTTTCAAGATATTTATATTCATTAACCACTGATTATGTTTTCATTTGAATCACACATGTATTCTGGATCTTCATTGTTAGTAAGTTTTCAATAACTCCTATAACTCTAGCATGGATTTCAAGAGAAATATAGTTTGGTGCATGTTCTATTTCCACAACTACTGAAAGATTGCATAAATATGTCCTCTGGGTAACAATTGGAGATCACTAGATAAGACGCAAACTTCTAAATTTCCATTGAGTTATTCCCCTGTAATAAGCTCATGGGTAATGTTTAACAATTGTTATTTATAATCTAAATTTACTTTTTTATATTTTTGTTTTATTTGAATTATATTAGCTCTTTACGGTAGGTAATTATAGTTAAGCATGTTGTAAGTTTATATCAAATTCTGTAACTAAAGTGGGATGAAAATAACTTTTTCAAAACTTTCTGATAGTTTATAATTAGAAAATGTTATTCAGAGAATTTCAAATAGGGTAGGTAGTTTCTAGTTATTTTCCGGCTTATATTACATCAATTTATCTGTGAGCCTAGATTTTGCAATATGCCTCTTAATACATATACACGCATGTCTCGTGTGATCATAGATTGTGAATCCGAACTTTTCATGAAACTTGTTTACAAATATATAATATAATACCATTGATTATGTATAGTTACAATAGAAATATTAAGGAAGACCATGAAGATTTTATACATATTTATACGGACGGTTCAAACGAAGGTTGCAAAGTAGGTGCAACTGTGTTTGGAAATAATTTTACATCTAGTATGAGGTTACCAGATAATGCATCAATTTTTACCGCAAAAGCAAAAGCTTTTGATTAAGCATTGTCATACATAGTACAGCATACCCATGATAAATTTGTGATATTTTCTGACTCGCTTTCTATTTTAATATAAAAATAAATAATCTGACAATATCATGATTCAGAAACTTCTTTTACGATTTCATGATGTACTTAAAACAAAATCTGTAAAATTATATTAGGTTACGAGGAAATGAAAAAGTAGATGTTTTAGCTAAACAATCATTAAATTTTCAAAAAACTGACTTATTGTTACCTGCTTGTGATTTTAGACCGGCTATAAAAAAACTCATATCATCTGAATGGAAAGCAAATAATTGAGACAATGCCGTTTTAGCTCGACTATTCGAAGAATATGAGAGCTATTGTAGTCGTCCCGGCGTCGGCGTCAGCGTCGGCGTTGGTTAAAGTTTTTTGTAAAGTCAAATATCTCAATTATTTCTTGAGATATTCAATTGAAACTTACAATACTTATTTATAGTAACAAGGTACATCAGATTGACAAGTTGGATAACTCTGCCTACAATATTGACAGAATTATGCCCCTTTTTAACTTAAAAATTTTGGTTAAAGTGTTTGTGTAAAGTCAAATATCTCAATTATTGCTTGCGATATTCAATTGAAATTTAAAATACTTTTTTATAGTAACAATGTACATCAGTTTGCAAAATTGCATAACTCTGCCTGCAATATTTGCAGAACTATTTGCCCCTTAAATTTGAAACTTAGAAAATTTTGGTTAAAGGTCTTCAAAGATATTTACTTGAAACTTTACACATGTACTTAGGGTCATAATTTGCGGGTCATAATTGTATGTCACTGACCAAGTTCCATATATCTATCCTGCATTAAGGCTGATTCATATCCCCTTTTCTACTTAGTCTCTTGGTTAATGTTTACATGCAAGTTTTACATATCTCAATAACTATTAAAGATATTTATTTAAAACTTCACATATGCATTAAGGGTCATAATTTTAGGTCACTGACAAAGATCCATAATTCTATCTTGCATTTAGGCTGATTTTTCTCCCCTTTTTCAACTTAGAAATTCATGGTAAAGTTTTGCTTGTAAGCTGTTATCTCTATAGTTACTGAAGGGTTTGTGCCTTTTTTGGGACAATTATATGCATTCATAATAATAAAGCAGTGATTTACTTGATAAAACATCTTAAGAACAAGCCTTTGTACCTTTTCTGTCAATTTTATGTATTCATAGGTAATAAGTATTATTATACTCAATAAAACGTACACCCTTGTGACATTACCTTCCGAATAGTCAAGCCAATACTGTATAATTAGACTGTCTCTAAGGCCTATAACATGAATTTATAAAAAAAATAGCCCTTTTGTGAACTTGGAAAATTTAACATTTTCAAAGCTCTAAATTTTACGTTATCAAGGCTCTTTTACTATCAAGCACTTAGAATAGTCGAGCGTGCTGTCCTACCGACAGCTCTTGTTTAATATTATCTTAACGATATAAACCCATCTCTTAATCACACCGTATTACCGGCGCCAGTGATGGCAGATCACTGCAGTGATGGCAGATAGCTGAAATTTACCGCTCGGTACAGGTAGGTTATACATTTGGTTGGTATTATAATATTACACAAATACGGCCAATTCCATTGCTATGAAACTATTGTCTATTGACTGGAGATACTATAAGGTAATTTTGGACTCGTTTTTTCCTGTTTTTAGACTATTTTTAGCAGGTTAAAAGTGACAGCTTCGGAAAAATCCGTGAAAATGTCTGTTTTTTGTTCAAAATATCTCAAGTTTTGACTAAATGGCAGGATTTCGTGTTATTAATATAGACGTTCATCCATTTGGGTCACGCATGCCAAATATCTACCCCGTGAGTTTTTTCTTGAAAGTTTAACAGACGTTCAATCTGGTCCGGTCGAAGAAAAAATGCTGCCGTTGTAGGCAGATACTTATTTTAAATGTTGTCGTCGATGGCAGAAATACCATGAAAGTGGCTAACATTCTGACAGAAAATCAAGGTCAATCTTTTATCAATTCCTCTATTCTTTGCGTACTTTAAGTCGGAATTGAGACGTTAAACTATCATCTCTAATATTTTCTCAAGATAGAAAAGTTATTAATGTGGTATGTGCCTCGAGAAAGCTTTTTAGCAACACGCAGTTACAATACAACATGTGATAATTCGGTACGACAAAATTGCACGATAAATAGAGCAATTAACATGAAGAAATTCATTTTTCTATATTCATGCATATATGAGCTTGATCAGTTACATTTGTACAATACCATATATATCTTAAGTTTAGCAGCGCATAATTCACTCCCTTTTCAAGACATAACGCCATTTGCATATTACAGCGAGTAACTGTCAAACATTTTCTTCTTGAATGTCATGATTTTTCACAGGCACGTAACAGATTTTATCGTGTAAACTCAGTCAAAGAACTCTTAAATACAATTCCATCAAAAAACATCACTGATTATTTGAAGGAGATAAACTTGTACTCTAGGATCTAATAGCCTCATTTTTATTGTCATTTATAAAACATTTCATAACCTTTTAAGCCTATAATATAGCATTCGGCACGATATGGCCAGTCATGTGTTGACGTGCCGTAAAAATCCAAACAAACAAACAAACAAAACAATAGAAATAACCACGTCATGCGTTAGATTAAGAGTAAAAATACAGGGACAAAATAACCTTATTACTTTTTAAGGAAACTGGTAATTTTAAGTGTTAGAAGAATTGGATTGGTAACTACTGATATAGATATATATTGAAGTAGAAGCTTCATATTTTGAACACAGGTTATTTTCAAGTATTGGCAAGAATCAACCCACTCCAACCCCCAATCTGAGATAAATTGCAGTCTCGTAATGTCAGAAAACATCAGTTGAGTCCCTTTAAAACTTAAATGGAATGAAACAAAACAAAAATCAAAATGACTGCCGTAAAGGTTTCTATCTTTTATGATGTGACTTAAATGTTTCAGAAAACTGTAATTTTAAGCATGACAAAGACCTTTGAAAGTCACACACGTTCCGACCCACTTTAAGTAAAGATATTTTTTTTTAGATTAGAAACGAATTTCGATGTGATTTAGTTCCTGAATGCTTTCATCGTGTATTGCTTGCAACAAATGATGATATAGGATTGATCTTTACTTATATTCTACAAAAAATATTAAATATATAATCATATTGATTCTGTTTTAAGAGGGGCCACTTAAATGTTATATTATATGAATATTGATTTTTCGCCGGGTTGCACTGGTGCAAACCCGGGTTATAGTATGGTGAATGTCGGGCTACGGGCGGGCGGGCAGACGGGAAATATATTTTCGCGGCTCACTGTCATATCATATAGACTAATGTTATAATGTATGTGAGACCACCATAGTATATATGTATGTTGTATATAATATGATACCGGGACTTCCGGAAAAACATGGAACCTTAGTAAACACGATTAAAACGTTATCAATTAATATCCACCATTAGGACTTATCACTCACCAAAACTGACATGTTCATTTGGCGAC